AGGCAGGCAGGCAGGCAGGCAGGCAGGCAGGCAGATAGGCAGATAGGCAGATAGGCAGATAGGCAGACAGAGAGAGATTAGATATAGATAGATACAGATATAGATATCTGATATCAACTCTTGAAGATGTTACCTAACCTGGTAGCAAAACATTCGGAAATCAACCCACAAGCTTGGAGAATGAACCTTCACCCTCATCCTACACCCGAGCTACAGATATTTGTCATTATTGCAAAGATTAATATGGCAGAGACCTGATATAGCCCTGTGAGGGGCAGGTATAATTAAGCAGATGGCAGTGGTATCATTAAAAACAGCAAGAGAGACTGAGAAGAACATTAATGCACTTAGGCCTATAAATAAGCTTTGGAAGATAATCTTTTAGCTCTGTGATAAAGCATATGCTGGGTCAAAGTCTTGGATAAGTATTAGTCATGGCAAACAGCTTATGCATCTTCACCAGCAATAGAATACAGGAAATTTAGTTACCTGGCCACTTTAAAATATATCTGACCACTCAAGCCAACATGATCCCCTTTTGATTTTGCTTATACAAATATATTGTAAATGGATTTCTGAGAGAAACCATTTAAGACAGCTTGTAACTATTCTAGAAGTAGCTCAGGAGAGAAGAGGTTCAAACTCCACTATGAAATTCCCCTCCCAAAATAACTTTTTTTTTTTAAAAAAAACCTCTTTGCACAGGCCATTTCACACTTCTGTTTTTACTACTGCCTTCTGCTCCATGTTATCTAACTTCCCCAGCTGCTCATGGTTAAGGGAGACGATCAAAGTGCTTCGCTGAGTGTAAGCTATGTCTTCTGCTTCCTTGAAGTGGGCAGTCATATTAATTCCATTGAAAAAGCCTGACTCAGCAGAATTTACTGATTACAGCGAATCATCAGTCCCAATAGTCCATTCTGGATGGCATGATTGAGAAGCTTCAGAAATATTTGGATGAAACTGAATTTGTGGCTCCATTTCAGTCAGGGCTTCCTCCAAGAAAAGGCATTTTAGGTTACTATGGATACCTTGGTAGATGATCTAGCCAGAAACTAGAATGGGAGACAACAACTCTACTATTTATTTTAGATCTCCAGGTTTCTTTTGATACCATTAGCAATGGCATCATTCCTGGCCATTCGGAAGAGTTAGGCATTGGGACTCTGTTTTGCAGTGGTTCTGGTCCTCTCTGTTAGGATGTGCCAAGAATGTACATCATTTTAACAAACTGCATCAATGTTTGGTTTGGTGGCTGCAGTGCCTCAGAGAGAAAGTCCATATAGAGCAGGGGTCCCCAACCACCGGGCCGTGGACCGGTACCGGTCCGTGGAGCACTCTGTACCGGGCCGCAAAGGAAAAAAAATAAAATATGGCGGCTTTATTCGCCTT